CTCAGTGTGAGCAGTTTGTTTTCTTGGCATCAAAAGAAGATTCAGATCCATGATTGTCTGCTTCTCTTTTCTCCACCCCAGGTCCTTCGCTTCTACGCCATATGGGATGACACAAACCACCCCTTTGGTGACCAGCATCGTTGCATCATCCATTACTTCTTGGCAGATGACACAGTGGAAGTTCGGGAAGTGTACAGTAGAAATGATGGGAGAGACCCATTCCCAGTCCTGATGAAACGCCAGCGCTTGCCCAAAACCCTCGCGGAAAAGAAAAGTAAGTTTAGATGGGCACATCTGTCTGGGCTAAAGTGCCTTGGTGGGTGGACACATCCATGGTGGCTATGCCAGAGGTACACTGCCTCTGGAGAAACTTGGCTGAGAACATTCCAAGTGTCACTGTTTTATGGTCAAAGTTCTTTAAGTGATCACTAAATTCTTTATCTTTTGGGAAACAGTGGCATGACAGCAGTGCCAACAGCTCCCTGGAGCTATTTGCTTTTATATCCATTTTCACTTTAAAATGTTAACATCTACCTGATTAATTTACTTTTCCTTTTACTCCCTTGTCCTTAGTGGGCTTCCCAAGCTGTGTGCTGGAGATCACTAATGAGGAGGTACTTGAGTGGTACTCACCCATGGATTTTGCTATTGGCAAAACCATCACCCTCCTTGGACGCACCTTCTTAATCTATGATTGTGACAAGTTCACACAAAACTTCTATCGGGAAAAATTTGGCATCACAGACTTCCAGCCACTGCCAATCAGTGAGAAACCACTCGAAAAAGTTCCACAGGTACTGCAAACAATTTCTGAAAGGAAGGGAGGAAAGAAGTAGTTGGTATAAGCTCTTATAATAAAGTAGAGGTTCAGTTTAGTAAGAACCTATAGAAAACAAGTTCAACTTAAAGAAAAAAGTGAGTAATTTGAAGAAGACAAGGCAAGAATGGTCATATCAATATAAAAATGAAAGTCTGGCTGCAGCCATACTACTAAATTCTCCTCACTCTCCAAAACAGTTTTGCCAAGTCCAAACTGCCTACTGGTGATGATCACAGCACTTGTTACCTCCCAAATTGAGCCTAGGAATGGTTTGGAGTGTCAGTTGGCCTAGACCAAAAACATGGCGGGGATTAGGTTACCAGTGTAACCAAATGAGCTGTTGAGTTCCTGTGCATGGGAAGGTTTAGTTGGAACTAGATGATTTTAAGGTCCCTTCCAACCCAAATCATTCCATCATTCTATGATTCTCTAATACAGCCATAGTCTCTTTATTCAGAGAAATTATCTTGCTTTCTGATTTTTTTGATCCTCTTATATTTTCATTAAATCCAACACATGACCAGGCCAGTAGCATCTCTACTGGGCAGATTGTCACAGCTCTTGCTGCCTGGTGACAGAAGATTTCCTTCCAATTCAGACCGGTTTTGATAAGCTGTCTTGCAAACTTTGTCTTGTTCTCAGTTTCAGCTGTTTATGGTTGATATCTCCTCTGGATGCAGGTAATTCCTCCCCATAATGGTTTTGGCATGCCTGAAGACTCTCTCCAGAACTGCCTCCGCCTGATTCCAAAGCGTCCACAGAAAGATGTTATTAAGATGCTGGAGAATGATCTCAAGGTCCTGCGGTACCAGGCGGCCCTGGTAAGTGCTTTCCTTGGTGGAATAGTGCCAGCTTGTGTAGTAGAGTCAGGAGGGTGGGAGGAGCAGCCTGCTCAGACAAGGCTGTTGGCAAATTCTTCTCTGTGCCAGTGGGAGAAGAGAGTTCCCCAAGCCAACACGAGTGTTCCTCGGGGGATGCCAGGGGGTTACTGTGTGCTCACTGTGACAATGAGCAGCACGAGAAGGTAGGAAAAAACCCCACAAGACCAGAAAGCACCAACCAGACATGCCACAAATCCACAGCCATTTATGGAAAAACTCCCACTGCCAGCGGCACGTGACAGATGGCCCTGACTGGAACAGCCTTGCACTGGGCACTGTGCCCCTGCCTGCCTGAAACTGCTGCCACGAGCCAGAGCTTGATGTCTCTGCTGCTGGCTCCAGCACCTGCCCTTCTCCAGGCTAGTCCTGGATGCAGCAGCCAGCAAGGAGCTGTCCTAGCAGAGCAGCCAAGTGCCAGTGTAGAAGCTGGAGAGTCTGGTGTTTTCCAAGAGCATCCAGGCCCTGGCCTTTGTGCCAGCTTTCCAGTTGGTTTATGCAAGGAGCCTCTGGCACGTCCAGCAGTAGCAATGGCATTTCCTGTGCTGCCTGGTGCCTGCCCTCTCCAAACACTCTGGGTGAGTAAGGGCTGGTTTCTTTTCCCTATTGTGCAGGAGCTCCCTAAAGGTCACAGCTGACAAGTTCAGATCCACTTAATTTTAAAGGAGGCAAGTAAACTCACTGGTGTGTCAGGGCAGTGACTTCCTGTGACTAAGAGCTGAAGCAGCACCAACCTCTCTCAGGCACTCAGTAAAATGAAAAAAACGTAACTTTAATACTGAATTTTACAGCCTCTCTGGGATGAATCATTCCATATAGGATATTCCTTTCTCTTGGATTATTCAGTCAGTGGAAACACTGAATATACTTGGAGTGGAATCACTGCAGCCCAGATTCTGCTTCTGTTACCCTGAGTAGAGCACATAACCTTTGAAATTCAGATAGTGAGTGCTGTCTAGGGCTTTGTTACACTATGTCAGCACACCAGGAGCTTTGTTTAGTCAGCAATAAAAAAAGCTGTGAGCTCTGGGTGCTTATGAGTGGGTTACCAGGTACTCCTGAGCACCCCAGGAAAGGAAAACCTGGTTGAAATGTTCTTTTCCAAACCCACTACCTTTGCTTTAGGAATCACCAGTCCCTGAGGACAGAAATCGTCGTTTCATCCTCTCTTATTTCCTCTCTGATGACACCATCAGCATCTATGAACCCCCAATCCGAAACTCTGGCATCCCTGGAGGCAAATACTTAAAAAGGACCAGAGTTGCCAAGCCAGGGTCTACTCCAGAGGATCCCATATACTTTCAGCCCTCTGACTTCACCATTGGCTCTACAATTGAAGGTAAAATCCAGCCTGGATTGATAATACTCTGCTCTGATATGACATTTATTGCATGGACAGTGCATATCCCTTCCTTCACTTGAAGGATTTGTTGCTTCTGGGTCTCATCACATTTGAGCTTCCAGATCAGCAGCTGGTGTACACTGATATAATTCTGTTACTGTCAATGTCTGAACCTTTGAATCAATGAAACTATTCTTACTTCAAGAAGTGAAACAAATAGCAGAGCTGGCTCAAAGCTGAGCCCAGCCACAGGAGAGGAATCATGCTCTCTCCTGGACGAAGGGACTTGCCCATGCTGAAACACAAGTAACACTTCTTTCTTTAATGCCTCTTCCCCAGTGTTCGGCCACAGGTTTGTTATCACCGATGCTGACGAATATGTGCTTAATTACTTGGAAAGAAACGCAGAGAGTTTCCCTGCAACAACATTGCAGTCCCTGAGGGATCATTTTCGCCCACGGAAGGCAGTAAAGGACACTGTCAACAAGTAGGCTACAAAGGATGGTGTTGTGGGGCTAAACAACACTCAGGGTTGACACCTAAGGGCATTTTCAGCAGCCTCCATGGGCTGGCTGCTCTGCTGGTTATTCAGCTACAAGAGCCTGTGTTTGGACACATACAGAGGGAGCGAAGTGTGTACAATCAAATGTTGTGGCTGGTGCTGACCCAAAACCCTTGTGGGACAGCTCTGGCTCATGAGCAGAGACACTTTCAGCCAGATCATGGAATCACAGAATGGTTTGGGTTAGAGGGGACCTTAAAGCTCATCTAGTTCCAACCCCTGTGCTGTGGACAGGGACACCTTTCACTGCTCAGAGCTCCATACAGCCTGATTTTGAACACTTCCAGGGATGGGGGGGACACCTTTTCCCAAAAGGCATCAGTTCACTGTAACAGATGCTGCCAATTTGAGCTACTTGATCATTGCAGGCTTAGTGGGTGGTTGGTGGAATCTTTTTTTTTGACATTTGTTCCTTCTTTGCTTATCAGCCCATCAGAGCTTAGACCACAACCTCTTTTTTAGCTGTCTGGACCCAGTTTGTGTGACCCAGTAACAACCATGTTCCCTCCACCTGTTTGGAGGCAATATCATGGTAGTTCAGGGGCTCTGCTTGAAACTTGAGTTGTCCACAGTCCCCAGGACTGTGGAGGACAGAGGGAAATGCTCCTTTTTCACACAAGTGTCACAGTAAGGCTGCCAGAATCAGCTTTTACATGAAATTCTATTATTCTTTTCTTCTGCAGTGACATCCCCAAGCAGGCCCTGGATGACTTAATTGAGGAGGTTCAGAAAGAGCTGAAGCTCCGTCACAGCTACTTGAACACCAGGAGGTTTCATGAGGCTTTTCATCAGTGTGACAAGGAAGGCTCTGGAATCGTGGACAAAGGAATATTTTTGGACCTTTGTGATAGGTTGGAAGTGCCAACCAGCACCATTCTTCTTAAAAAGGTCAGAAGGAAGGGGTGTTCTGCCTTTCCCTCCTATAGTTCTTCCAAATGACCTCTTAGAAAAACCAACCCTAACCAGCTGCTTTACCCTACAAAGAGGAACAGCTTCAAGAAAAGGGCAATAGAGTCCCCATTTAGAAAGGCTTTTGAGCTGATGGACTGAGCCTGTGTCTTAGAGGAGATAATAATTGCTGTCCTCAAAGGAAGGGGAAGAAATGTTACCCAAGTTGCCCCCCATGTTTGGTTGCACAGTCATGTGAAGCCTGAACATTCCTGCTGGCTCAGGTCTTGGATGAGCAGAAGAGGTGTTACATTGTGATAGGGATCGGGGATAGGCTACTGCAGACCTATGGAATGTCTGTCCAGCACAATTGGGATTGAGTAGAGATGACACTGAGGTGCTTAAGGAATGAGCCTTAGGAAAGCTTAGAGGTATTCTGGATTTTGCAGCAACTGAATTGAAGGTTTAAGAACTAAGTATTATCACAAAAAATTAAATAATAAGAAAAAAAGAAATTAGAATCATAACCACTTGGTTAACATAGCTGGGGACTATGAGCAACAGCACGTGGAGATCACAGTCTCCACAGCAGAAAATGTGAGGGAAACTGAGAGAAGAATTCATGCAGCAGGGATGAAGGATCCTTTCAGGAATATGACTGGCAAGGGTGCTTCCTTAGCATCATATAACAGGCAGTAGATTAGTGGCCAATAAAGGCAGACTCAGCGTTTAGAGAAATCTAGAAACCAGAGGGAGTAGTTCCCTTGCTAAAATAACAAATTTTCTAAACCAGCCAAGTGTGAGCATCCCAGCCATGGCTAGAAAGGTGCACAGGCAGGGGATTTGTGTCTCTGAATGTGGATGAATAAAGGCCCTGGCCAGCACCCAGGGCTAGAGTTCATCAGACCTCCCTTCACCCTGAGGAATTTACAGTGTGGTGGGTCCTTCCTGCTCCATCTGAGAATGGGAGAGGAAGTGACATGACCAAAACTAGCTGGAGAACCTGTGACAACTTAGACTAAACCTCTATGTTTGAAACCCCAGTCTAGGGCTTACACACTAAAAACATCCCTCTTCTCTCTTGAAATCTTAATACCAGTGTTCCCAGAGCCCTTGGGAGCGTGGCAGGGCTATAAATTAAACATAGGGCAGAGAGTGAACTGCTGCGTGGGTTGGAGGGGAGCACAGCTGTCAGTCACACCAGAGCAAACCCCGGTGAATCTGTCTCTGGGCGACAAGAGGAAGAAGAATCCTTTCAAGGAACTGTGATATTAGACCTTTTCCATCTGCCTGGGTGTCAGAAGGAGATTAGTTATGCAATTAAAGAAACAAAAGCCCTCTTTCTTCCCCTTAAGCACTCAAAGGCTATAGCTCTGTAACACAATGCAGGGTCAGGCACGGACACCAGAACTGGCTCATTAGTCGGGCTGTCTCCGAGCTCAATTATCTGTGTCTCCCCTTCATGCCATGTGCACTCACCAAAGTGACACCAGGGAACAGGGACAGTTAGATACACAGCCCCCATCCCACTTTTGGCAGGGCTTTCTGGAAGATTTCCTGTGGCCTGTGTCAAGTCTGTGGCCATGCTTTGTATTTTTGTGGGTCTGTTGCCACTGTGATGATGCCCAGAAGGAAATCAAGATTAGACTCAAGCACTTCAGCTCTTCTTGCACAGATTAGTGTCATCTATAGGCATTCAAGGTTGGACTTGGACCTTTAGATCAATAAGTCCAACCTTTAGACCATCAACTCTTAGATGGTTGGATTTGATGATCTAAAGGTTGGACTTGATCTTGCAGGTCTTTTCTAACATTAATGATTCTATGATTCTAAGTTTACCTGTGAATCCGGACTACCAAGGCTCTTCCAACAGGGGAATAAGATCTCCTGCTCTGACACAAAAGCAGTACCTCTGGGCACTTTCCCCTAAAAAACCCCCTTGATTTTGCAGCTTCTTCCAACTCTTTATGGTGTTTGTTGTTTTTTGTCCCCACAGCTCATTGACTATTGTTCCCTTGGAGAAGACTATGTAAACTACCGTGACTTCCTTCGAGCCTTCCCTAGTAATCTTTTCCCAGAACCTGAAGCACAAGATGAGCAGTTAAATACTCAGGTGACTTGAAGACCTTGTGCTTCAAAAACGATGTTCCAGTCTTCACCTTTGCTTCACTGTCCCCCTTTCCATAGAACCAGTTAATTCCACCCTTATTTTGTTAACTTTTTTCTTCCCTAACCTCTCCCTGCCCTTTTGGCCACCACCAAACTCAACTTCACAACTGCTGGATGTTGAAACGAAACTCATAGAAGAAAATTTCTGAGAACCAAAGTTGGGTTCTCTGTTATCTCTCAACTTTTTAGTAAAGTATTTTAGAGAGCTAAAGCTCTCCGAAGCCTGGAGTGAAAACCACTCTAGTTTTCTCTCGGAGTCAAAAGGGCCTTTCACCCTCAAATAGTGAAGACTGCCAGTTTACATTGGTTTAAAATTGCAATAAAAATGCAGTTGCTATAACAGTGTTGGTAAATCTGTTTTAAGTAGAATTACCTCAATGGCTGGAATAGTTAAGGATTAAAATAAGGGAGGGGGGGAAAACTCCACAAAGTGACATTTTGGATTTACTCAAAATGGGGTAGTGAGTTTAGCTATCTGGAGATAGCAGGGGTCTGGACACAAATCTGCTCACAGCAGCTCTGCATGTTTTTAACAAAAGGTTGGGAGAATGGTTTTAGGACTGAGATACCATCTAAATCCATCTTATGCAGCCTGTCATCTCACCAGGCAGGGCTCCAAGGAAAAGGGAATACTGGCAGTTGGCATAGCAATAGAGTTTATGACACTTGTGCTCCACTTAGAGTCACATTACTCATCTCTCCATGAAGGTAAATGTGGCAGGGATGTTATCACCCCAAATGTCACCTGCCAGGTATTGCCATGGAGCACAAATAAAAAAAAAAGGCAGCTGTCATGCACACAGAGGAGAACAAAGCTCTTTGGAACAAAATGCTTCTTTAAACCAGCTTTTGTGCTGTGGATTCCCACTTCCCCTCCGAGAGCTGAGTCTCCACATGACAGCTCCCTCCTGCTCCCCTTCTTCAGAAAGGTCACTCCTCTTCCCTTCTGGGCCCGTTTTGTGCTGCTGATCACTCTGACTGAGGATCACTCCAGGTATCTCTGGTCCACCTCACTCTTCAAGAGACCAGGAAATTACATATGAAATTACTGGAGCTGTAGAAAAGAAAGTCTGAAACTATTTTCTGCACATGCTATGAAACCATAACCTAATCCCGAGCCAAGTCATGTCGTATCCCCGGGCCAGCTGCACAAAGTATACAATTTAACTCACCAAAAAATATGTGCCTAAACCACATCAGATAAATCATCTCCTCCAAATACCCTTCTCCTCCACTCCCTGTGATGAAGGCAGCCACAAGTAACAACCTCCAGAGCAGCTGCTTGTGTTATGGACATGGGAAATGTGGGAAGATGAAGCCCAGCTGGAAGGGCATGGATTGACAGGACAAGGGAGAATGGCTTTAAGCTGAGAGGGTAGATTTAGATTGGATATTAGGAGGAAGGAATTCTTCCCTGTGAGGGTGGTGAGGCCCTGGCACAGATTGCCCAGAGCAGCTGTGGCTGCCCCATCCCTGGAAGTGTCCAAGGCCAGGTTGGATGGGGATTGGAGCAACCTGGGATAGTGGGAGGTGTCCCTGCCCATGGCAGATGAGCTTTAAGGTCCTTTCCAACCAAACCATTCCATGATTCCATGAAGAGGAGGACACAAGATGCTGCAAAGGGAACAGATTAGCCTGGTATGACAGGAGAAAAGACCAGTACAACCCGTCACAGCTGCTCTGCCACATGTACAGCTTAGGAGTGATAAAGCATCACTGGACAGCAGCAGTGGAAGAATCTATGCCTTTTATTCATTTATTTCAGAAAAATATTTTTGCTGAGTTTATCACAAGAGTCATTTAACAACAAACAACAACAAACAAAATCCGTACAAAAACTGAAGTGACAGAAAGAATGAAACAAACAAGATAAAATACCAGAGACTGTTAATTCCCCCCACCCACTCCAAAATCAGGAAATACGGAAGTAGAGAAATCTTTCTCGAGTTCCTTTGCTGAAGTTTGATCCATTGAGTTCAACATTTTTGAGGAGAAACTACATGCCTCTGCCTGGCTTTTCCAACAGCCATTCTTCCCAGCAAAACTCCATACACAGCCCCGAGCCAAAGGAACATATTTCACTTGGGTATAAAACCTACCAAGCCAACCTTTTATTCCTGGAAGGCTGTAAATCAAACCCCATCATTTCTATCCACTGTTTACACAATTTGGGGTCCATCTACCAAAGGCAAGAGCCTGAGGCTGCTGTGAACCCGCGGGCACTGCAGCAAAGGCAGGGTAGCTCCAAGCTTCCAGAGTCACTTGCAGGCAAGGAAGAGACATCTTAGAGTAGCCACTCTTCCCTCCAACAAGGAAGCCTACCATACATTTTAAAACAGTGAGGTGAAGGTAAGGGGACCTACAGGGGAACTGGAACTTGTCTACTACTAGCCCAAACAGGATGAGTAAGAAGAAAGAATCCTAAACAACAACAACAACAAGACAAAACGCAACTGTAATGCCCCATAAGGTAAGTGTCACTCAAAAATTGTACGTGAAATGCTACATCTGTTCTTCCTCCACCCCTTCCTCTTCCCAAGCCCATTCTCTAACTATCTGAAGACAGAAAGAGAGAACTACTGCTGGTATTATACAGCTCTTCTAGGCTAGGACAGGAGAACACTATGCTTCACACTAAAACCCACAGGCTACTCAATTCCTGATCTCCTTAGGTTGGATAATGGACACGGACTACAAAAGCAGTCTCAAGCCCATGGGAAGGGTGCAAGCAATAGTGTCACACTGGAAGTAAAGACCTGCAGTTTTGGATAGTCTCCATCACCTCCTGCACTGTGGTGGACAAGAGCTCCTGTGTGGGGTTGGATCTTGGATCTTGGTGTTGGATTAAAGGCTGGATTTTTATGACCTTGGAGGTGTTTTCCAACCTCACCCAACGATTCTGTGGTGTTTCCTGCAGATGACACAGGGCTTGACAAGATGGGGCACGAGAAGAGCATCCACTCAAGGGAAGTGAGCTCGTGGCATTTTATACACAGAGCTGTCAAGGACAGACTGACCAATAAGGGCTTGTAAGGAAAACACTCCATTTGGGAAAGAAAAAAGCTCTTTGGGTTGAAAAGAAGGCTCGATCTGCTGAGAAATGACACGGACACAGAAGCAGTTACTGTGGGCTTGCAGCTGAGGGATTGTGCTTGGACTAGAACACAGAGACAGGAGCAGCCCCTCTGATGGAGAGGGGATTGCAAACCTCCAGGATGAAAGTGGATATTGCCTCACAACAAAGGCTCAGCCTAAAAAAAAAACCAACCTGCCAGGTTTGGGTCTAACAGAAGGATTGAGATTTCTGAGTACTAAATATAGGGGAGGGCAAAAAAAAGCCCCATCGCCTATAGGTTTAAAAAAAACAAATGATAGAAAGAACACATGGAAATGCTTCCATAACAAACTATCCCTTTTCCTGGTAGCTCTATCAAAAGGAAAACAAAAAACCACATAAATGTAGCATATGTTGTACATACATACTAAAGAGGGAGGGTGTTCAGCTACTGCTAAAGTACAGAGAGGCTACAACATAAGGCACTTGGGATACAAAGCATCATCAGCTACTGTACGAAGAGACAGCATTGTGCAAGTGGAAAAGCTGCCTGAAGCAAAGCAGGCAGGCAGGAGGAATCATTCAGCAGCCAGCTTTTTGGGGGGCTGTTATGTGTCACCTGTTAACAGAGCCAACAGCTCAGCTGCTGTGAGGCACCGGCTCTGCGGAAAGGACCGGCCGAGGCTCCGGAGAGATCCCGGCCAGCAGTCGCTCTTGGAGGGCATGTGGCAGTGGATGGCTGGGGAGGGGAAGAGGAAGAGAAAGGAAAAACCTCTCACACTAGACCTTTTCCATGTCCTCCCTAAACATAAAGCTGTTTTCCCCCTCTGGTCTCGCTGCCCTGCAGGTACTGCCATTGTCTCTGAGCCAAAATGAGGAGCAACTGCAAGATACCTCCAAGGGCTCTGCTCCAACCTCCTTCCTCAGCTCCCCCGAGAAAGGGGGAAACCCTCTCCTGCCAATCTCTCTCGCTTGACACTCATAGGTCGTGAGGATGGAGGACCAACAGGAATTTGACCAATTGTCCTCGTATCCCTGAACATTTTCTCCCTCCAGTGCATCCCCAACAAGGAGAGGGGAAGGAAGGGACAAAAGGCACCCACAGAAACAGGGAAATCCCCAACTCAGCTCAAAGAGGGGCAGAAAATCAACTCTCACCCATTCCTCAAAACACAACTGATGAGAAGAACACCTGCGCCAGCCTCAAGCTGGAATTGCACTGGGAGAGAGCCAGAGCTCAGCTGCCCGAAGGGCTGAGCAAGGGGCACACCAAGCATCAATCCTGGACTGCCTATGGAAGAGCACCCCAGCTCCCCCCAGCTCTGTGCCCTCTCTCCTCGCCCAGCCAAGGGAACACACGAGTCGCCTGTTCCTGCGGCGGCAAAGCAGAACTAAAGCTACGCCCGACTTTGCTGCACAAGAGGCACCAACAGCAAAGCCCAGCTTAGGGACTGCCCTGGAGGAGAGTGTGGGGTGAGAGGTGCCACTGCTGCTCACCTGCCAAACCCAGCCTGGTGTGTGGCACCCCAAAGAAGTTCAGTGAGATGGCACTGACCCACGAAACCCCAAGCAGATGCTGCTCCTCAGCAGCAAGGGATCAAGCCGGTGGGATCTGGCTTTCCACAAAAGCTCCTGCCAGCACAAGGAGGTGGGAGCGGGCAGGAGCAAGAGGGGAAAGTGGTCTGCAGCAACAGATGGCCTCTGAGGTAGATTTGAGACAACTCCATCTGCCAACAGCTACACGTCACAAGTCAGGCTTTTCCTAAAACGTGAGCTGCTCCTTGCAGCCCTGGCTTCCTTCCCCTTCCCTCCCTGTCATCTCGTTCACAGCTCGGAAAGGGATGAAGGGGATAGATTTTTTGGAAGAAACCCTGGATTTGATAGCACCTTGGGTGGATACAAGCACTGTATCCTTTGGAAACAAAGAGTGAAGCTGGTGGCTACCGATGGCACGGCTGGACTGGTACGGTAGGGATGAGGAAGGCTGAGGTGACAGCACGAGGGGCACAGTCCCATTGATGCAAAAACCCTTTGCAGCAGCCAGTTTGTCATCTGGACACGGTCAGGAGCCACAAGAACACCAGGTCCACGAGGCACAGACAAGCTGGCAAAGGGCCAGGCCAGCGCTCAGAGCGGGGCAGGACTCAAGGTTTCACCTGGACCTGAGGATGGTGCTGCCCCACGACAAGGCACTGTGAGCTGCAGAGCTGCTCAGCTCTTGGGGCTGGGAGGTCCAGAACAACCACAGGGCAGCCAAGAGAGACCAAGCTGTACCAGAAGAGCTGGGGCAAGCAGAGGCTGGGAGGTGGGCCTTCCATATGAAGAAGGAAATTCTCTCCTCTCTCTGCTGCCCAACTCTCCAAAATTAGCTCAAAACCAGGGGTCAGAAAAGCCCCACGTAACCAGGGGTCCGCCATGAGACAAGACAGGGCTGAGGTTCCTCCCTCAGACCCTGGTCTCTCTTTGCAGCATCACCACCCTGCCAAGCGCTGGCCCCATCTCACCTGAGAGTGCCCCAGGGCCTCAGGATCTCACAGCCCCAGCACACTCCCCCAGGAACCTGTTCCCATAACACACATTTGGTGCCTTCAAGCTGTCGTGGCCCTGTCCCAGGGACTCAGGGAAGCACCATGAAGAGAGAGGGGAGGAACATGCTGTGGGAGAAAAAAGGATCGTTTGGAACCGTCTACGACACATTTGTAACCATTAACCAAAATAACCAAACACTAAAATAGAAAAGAAAAAAACCAAAATTGCACACTGATTTACCATCAAACAGAGGAAGGCAAAACCAGGAGGGCTGGAAAAGGTTCCTACGAGGGGAAGGGAGCGGGGGAAAGGGACCTTTTTGGTTTTATTGCAAATGGTTCAAGAGAGCAAGAGAGGAAGGGAGGAGAGCGAGAGACACCTTGGGAAGATGACTGGTTTCCAAGCCACTCAAGACGCCGCCCATGAGGACCAGGAGGAGGGGCTGCTTAGTCTTGGTATCTCGCTCTCCTCCCCAGGAGACAACCCTTGGCTTCTACGGGGACTTCAGCTTCTTGGTTCGAGGTGAGGTGCCGTTCTCTGCTTTCACCACCCCGTTTTCATGGTAACCTGGGGACGGCAATGAAAGGCAATGAAGCTGGTGAAGGGTCTAGAGGTTAAGTCCTATGAGGAGCGACTCAGGGAGTTGGGGTTGTTCAACCTGGAGAAAAGGAGACTCGGGGTGACCTTTTCCCCCTCTACAACTCCCTGACAGGATGGTGGAGCCAGGTGGGGGTCGGGCTTACTCCCAGGGAACAAGTGACAGGACAAGAGGACGTAGCCTCAAGCTGTGCCAAGGGAGGTTCAGGTTGGACATTTCTTCACAGAAAGGGTGATTAAGCATTGGAATGGGCTTCCCAGGGAGGTGGCAGAGTCCCCATCCCTGGAGGTGTTCAAGAAACACCTGGACGTGGCACTTAGTGCCATGGTCTAATTGACGTGGTGGTGTTCATCCATAGGTTGGACTCGATGACCTCAGAGGTCTTTTCCAACCTAATTGTCCCTTGCACAAGCCAAACCATTAACCCTCTCAGGCCTGGCCCACAGACATGGGGAAAGCCCCCACTGTGCCAGGACGCTGCTGGGGACCCTCTGAGGGGGTGCTGAACCACAGGACTGATACCTCCCACGGTGCCACCCGTCCCAGCACTCACCCGAGTCCCTCTTGAGCAGCTTGGTTTGCTGCTTGGTGCCGGTGGTGGTGGTGGCAACTCGCTTCCGACTGCTCTGCTCGTTCCAGTACTCCCTCCAGCGCCGCAGCTGGAAGTGGATGAAGCGCCACATCACCGAGGCCTGGAAGAGGCACACCAACAGCAGCACACTCATTCTGGCAGGGGTGGAGAAGAGGCAGGCTGAGAACAGAGCAGCGAGGCCACCCCCGACCCAGCCTTCCACCCACACCGGGGCCAATGGCCCCCCGGGTGGCAGGTGCCATCCTTAGAGCTGCCACCACCTCTCCTTCCTGCCATCCCCCGAGCAAAGAGCAGCCACCTCCCTTTCCCTCCACACCATAAAGCTCTCAGGTGCTCGGGGCATTGCTGATTGTTACAACTTCAGGGCAAGAATGGATCAACAGGATCATCTCGACCAGCACTGCCCAAGCCACACTCTGCACAGTCAAGGTATGACATTCCCAACTTCTCTGTACATCTAAAAGATGGATGTGGTTGAAAGGGAGCTAAGAAGGTTCCCCAAATCCTCATGTGTGCCAGCAGTCCATGGCTTCAAAAAGCTTGGGAATGACCAGGCCTAGCAAATTCTGAACTGAACCCAAAGCTGCTGTATGGCTGAGAAAGGCTCCCAGTCTTGACAGACAGACTGCAAGGCATGAGGAGCCCATCCTATATTCTGCTTCCCACGTCAACATGTCCAAGCAGAAGGGAAAATGCATTTTCCTTGACCACATCTGTGTTATTGCACTTAAAGTTGCAGTAGGGAAAGTCTGTAAGCCCTTCTCTAGGATAGACTCATGCTTTATAATTTCACTCAATGAACACTTTATTTGATGTTTTTTTCCCCTCCGTAGCCTTTAAACCCCTCCTTGCTTCCTTCACACCCCTTCAGCTCACTAGGACCTTCCCTAAATGGAACCAAGATCAGATCCCCACTGGCATTTGGATGGAGCTCTGAGCAGCTTGGTCCAGTGGAAGGTGTCCCTGCCTATAGCAGGGGGTTGGAACGAGATGAGCTTTGAGGTCCTCTCCAACCCAAACCATTCTGTGATTCTGTGACTTCCAAACTCGGCAGAACCCACCTTGAGATAACACAGCCAAGGAAGACACAGCAGACATTCCTACCTGAAAAGGATATGGTTGAAGAGGAAGCTGAAAAAGTTCCCTCTCTCAGGGTCCAGGGCCTGGCTCTCCACCCGTGGCAGCCCAAAGCCAATGACCAGGATGTACAAGGTGAGGGTGAAGAGCCTGGTGACCACGAACACGACAGCCCAGACATTAAACCTGTGGGAGGGACAAGCAGAACTGTGGGCAGGAGCAGCTCCCAGCACTGAGATCAAGCCATGTGGCTCTCCCAGGCTCTGGGGGAGGTGGAAGCCCTGGGCAGCTCCCCTGCTTACAGCTTCTCATTGTTCTCATCCGTGAAGTAAACCAGCCTGGCCATGTGGAAGAAGAACTCAGCCAAGTACTGCAACAGCAAGAGGATCAGCCCCAAGCGGGTTAAACTAGGAGGGAAGAGGAAGAAAAAAGCATCACTGGTCAACCTTCATCCTTCCAATCCAGCTACAGCCTCTCCCCTGCCATTCCTGAGCTGCAGCACCAGCCTAAAGCCAGGCCTTTCTGCAGCTGTGGGGTAAAACTGCAGTGGGGGAAATCCCTGTCCCCAAACCATCAGCACAGCCCAAACCAGTAGGAATCCAACACAAAACCCTAACTGCTGGCAAGGCTGCTCTGCTTTTTATCATAGAATGATCTGTGTTGGAAGGGACCTTAAAGATCATGCAGTCCCAACCCCCTGCCATGGGCAGTGACACTTTCCACTACCCCAGGTTGCTGAGAGCCCCATCCAACCTGGCCTTGAACAATTCCAGGAATGGAGCAGCCACAGCTGTGACAGAGCCTCACCACCCTCACAGGGAAGAATTTCTTCCTAATATCTAACCTAAATCTCTCTTCTTTTAGTTTAAAAACATTCCCCCTTGTCCCATCACTACCCGCTTGTGCAAAAAGTCACTGTCCACTGAAACACTCCACTTTATTCCCTTTAAGCCTCCCACCCCACTGAGGATTCCCAGGTGACTCCCACTGCAAAAGGAGCTGCTCAGCCCCATTCCTGGAGCAGGATGTGGTGCTGAGGGAGGTGACTCACTTGAGCAGGTAGGCGCCGGCGATGTGCACCAGGTAGAGTGCGATGCAGCGCAGTTGGCGGGGGATCTCCTCCTGGCAGGGCAGAGAGCCATGTCAACCTCTCAACCCTCTTCACCTGCCCTCTCCCAAAACTCCCTCTCCCAAAACCCAGCGTGTGGGGTCCCCTGTTTGCCCACCTGGCTCTCACCTTGCGAACTTTTTGGAAGTAGAGCTCCGGCAGGGCGTGCAGCCAGTACGCCAGCTGGCACAGGTAGAAAAACTTCACCTGGAACCTGAAATGCAGGGATGATCCATGAGAGCCAACCAAGGGCATGGCAGGACCCCAAGGACCTGGGTGGCAGGGCAGCATTGGGCAATCCCTCCACTGCTTTGAAGCCACAGGATTCAGGAGGCATCATTTCTGGGCTGAAATTATTTGTTGAGCCAAGACAGCCACACCTGGAGTTTATCCAGATGCTCCTGCTGTGGTTTCCATGCCCTCAGCAAATCTCACTTTTGTAAAACCCTCCCAAAAGGGGAGGGTTATCCCCCACTTCATTCCTACTGTGAAAAATAAACAGCAAAGAGACTTGCCCGAGGTGATGCAGGAAACAGCCAGGATGAGTAATGGGGGCCACAGGACCTTTCTCATGGGGGAAACCCTCTGGAACACCCTCCCCAGGCTCACAAATGAGATATCCACCATTCCTCATAACCTCACTGCAGCATCCTTGCAGCAGGGTGCATGCAAAGGGTGCTGTGGTGTCAGCACCCCTCTCCCAGCCACAGGGAAAACCGTGGAGAGGAAGGAAGTGGTCAGCCCCAGAACAAAATACCCTCACAAGTGCTTACGGAAGATAAACATGCGGGTAGTTTTCCCACAGACTCCGGGGGTTTGATACGTATCCTTCCTGAGAAAGAGAAGAGATGCAAGGCTTCAGCAAAATAATCAGGTTATGACAGGGTGGGCTGATGTTACAGTGAAACAAGGAACTGGGGATGACACTCAGCCTGCAGAAAAAAACGTGTCCCCTGCGAGAGCCAAGGCTGAGCTTGCCAAAGCTCAGACACGTTTGCAGGTCTCTAGTAACCCTATAAAATCTCTCCAGGCCCTGTGTTTGGGGGCTGAAGGTTCCTTGCTTAGTTGCACAGATGTTCCCAGGTTCAGGACAGGATGTTCTGGAGGTGTGGGGGTGAGATGCCTGTAACTGTGCATGGTCTGTGGGGCTTCTCCCTCACCGGTCTGTGCAACCAAGTATCACTTAAGCAACCAGAAGTACTACTGATGAGAAAGGGGAACAGAAAACACCTACAGAACCAATTTATTATGCCTTGGACAGTTTAATTTTCCACCTCTTAACTTATGCTTGCAGGCGGGTTACAGGATGTGGCTCCCCTCTTGCTCCTGCCACGGGGATGTTGCACTGGGCTTTGGAAGGAGGTGTTGGCATGGGAAACATGTCCTGTCAAGTCACCATCATCCACGCCCTGTCTGCCCTAAGCCCTTTTTTCAGCTGGGGGAAGCCAGGGGAAGTGCAAGTGCTGTGAAGGGCGACCTGCTTGGAGCACACGGGGTGTTTGGGGAGCACATAACAGCAAGGAGGAGGCTCCGGCCCCGCAGCTGGTGAGGGACAGGTCTGGCACTGGGAAAGGGGAGCCCAAAACCAGCAGCATCAACTGTGTTACCAGTGTTTCCCTCCTCAGAGCCCAACAGGACAGAGGCAGTGCCAGCAGACCTCTGAAATGCTGGCCTTGAAAGGGGTACTCTAAGGGGAGCTGGTAGGACCCTCCAAGCAGTGGAAAGGGGATCCATCCCCAGCTGGACCCCAATGGCTGCAGGCAGCAAAGCACCATCACTTCACACTGCCAAAATAGCCAGATCTCTCCCACAACACCTGCTCTTCCCTCCCCCTTCCTCCCCAAAAAGAGGGAGGATTTCTTCTCCCAGCAGTTTTGGGTTGACACATTCCCAATGCACCCAAGGAACAGCGTGGCTTTCCTGTTCTCAGCGATCCCCTCACTGTCAGCTTGCCAGGAAAGGGACCACAAAGAGGGATCCCAAAAATCTGCCCATTAGCCCCACAACCCTGCAAAAGGCATCCAAAAACCTCAAAGAACTGAATGTAAATAAAGAGGAAAATAAGAATCTGAGAAAGATGATCCGGAGCAGCAGATGGAGATGATGAGACCAGGCAGGATTTCTGAGGACCAGCTCCAAAAACATCTCACATCCCATTAGCTTATGCCTTGCACAGTGCAGAAGAAGGATCTCCCAAAACTGCCCTCACTCAGTGGCTGGAAAGATCCACCACACTTGAAAACTAAACTTGCTGAAATGTGCCCGTTTTGGCCCAGGGGCTGGCTGGGGACTCTGCTGCCAGTGGGATTTTGTGCTCCAGAAACCCCGAATTCCCCCTTGGCAACCAAAATCCCAGCCATTCCCGTGCCTTACCGTCACCACGACGTACAAGCACCAGATCACAGAGGTGAGGTGGAAGGCAACCAGCTGCCCTGACTCATTGAACTTGCTGTGTTTGACCTTGGAGAGATGCAGACGCCTGTTGATTTTCTGGGAAGGAGCAGAGGAAGAGAGAAAAAACCAAGAAAAGATGAGCCGCCGGGTCATCAACCCTCTCTCCTCCTCATCCCAAGCAGCCTCCAGAGGTGAAGGCTCACTCATAATCCTTAACCCCCAGAACAGCATTTAACTGCAGCAGCACCATGGGATTTGAGGTATTTTGGTGGCTCAAGACATGGAATGGCACTCACGTCCAGGGCGTATTCCTGCACCACCGCGTGCAGGATGATGGCGATGAAGATGTAGAAGAGGATGGTGACCAGATCCTTCAGCCCATAGTGATACTGGACCAGCTCCCCATCTGCAAAACACCAAACAGTGGGGCAAATCCCCATGACCCAAATGATTTCCAGGTGAGGGTTTAAGGGTTAGTGGGGCAGGGGGGTTATTCCCAATATGGGGACACCAGAGAGAGGTCATTACTGTGCCAGGGCTCCATCCAGGGTTAGTTCATGGCAGAGGTGGGTGGTTTCTCCTCCAATAGTTACACACCTCAAGGGAGGAGACACTCAGGAGGCCTCAAGCTTCCCCTGCCAGAGATGAGGGGCTGGGGACAGCTTGGGTATGGAGGCAGGAATTTATCAGCCTGCCAGGATGAAGACATGGAAGGCTGAAGCAGGTGATGGGATCAGGGATGCCCCACTGAGAACAGCAGGGCTCAGGATGGCATTTCCACCCCCTCAGTTATAATCTAGCACCCAGTCTCTTCCACTCATCCCTGAAAGCTGCTGGAGCAGGATTCAGCTGCCGAAATGCAGATGCCTTGTGCTATTAAGAGATCTGAGATAGCAGCAAGGGGATGGAGGATGAGAAATAGGACCCACGGGAGGCCATGCTCTTCTGGAGCAATGGGAGACCCAACGGCACCCAAAATACCCCAGACAGCTGCATTAAGGTGACTATTTGCAGCCCTGCAGCTTATGGAGAAGAAGCAGATTTAGGAAAGCTGCTGTCCTTGTGGTGCGCTGCAGAAAGCATCTTGTCACCAGCCCTGTTTACCCTTGAGCAAAGCTTTAGTTCAGATTTTTAAGATTTGAACAGGATTTATGAAAACATCTGGCAAAGGATATGAAATTACCCTGTCCTTAGAAGCCCGGCTGGGTGCTGTGCAAGCCCAGAGGTAAACATGGTGCCTGTATCCCAGAGCAAGGCAAAAGATTGAATTGCAGGTCCCAAGAAAATAATATCATGCACATGTGCAACCACTCTGCCTCGTCTCCCCTCTCTCAGAAGCTGCTCTAGCAGGAGCTGTGAGGGATGTGAAACAGCCTTGGAAAAATTCAGATGAGCAATAACCCTTCCTCCAAACAAGCTGCTGCAGCAAGGTCTCTCTCCCCAAGGCCTCAGCCACCTCATAGTCTACACTGAAGCCCCATTACCTGGCTCTGGTGAGGTGTTTCTGTGCCCTCCCTGAGTTTTCTGGCATCAGGAAAGAATAAATCCCTTAAAAACCAGCAGGAAGTTGTCTGGACTGTGCCATAGGGGAGCACAGACCAATTTAATCTGGGAGCTGGATGACTTCTTCAGCCCTAACGTTCAAAGATTTTAAGGGCAGAGCTTTTATCTTCCGCATGTCTGCCTCACTGTAGTCCCACTAATCCCAACACCCTGCTCTTTCTTTGGATGATTACTCAAACACTTCCAATTAACTGCAGTTTTCTGCCACCAAGCCAGGCTCTGTGCCCCAGGCGTTTGGCTCATCCTGAGCTCGGGCTTTACCCAAACCACCTCCTGCTGTCTCCACGCCAGTGCCCAGATCACTGCCAGATCCAGGGGGGCTCTGAGCCAGGAAGGTAGCAACCAGCAGCCAAAATATGAACAGGGGCTGAGCCTCCAGCTGCCTCCTGGCTGGCAGCTGGGGCACATCCTCTGGTCTGTTTGGTTCAGAGCTGCACCACCTCAGAGCCTCCTCAAATCAAACGTGAACCAGGCCCATAACCTGCCTTGTCCTGTGCACCTCCACACATTCACCTTGTTCCATCCCTCCAAAAATCAGCAAGGCAGGAACAATTGTGTAGCCCCTACTGCTTAGCAAAGAGGTAAACCCCTCCCGCTCCCCAGCAGGACATGGAGGTACTCCAGGCATGCAATCAGGCAGTTTGATCCTGCCTGACCAGGCTTGGAGCAGGATCCTCACCCTGCAGGGAGCATAGAGCAGCCTGGCCATGGCAGAAACACAGAGGAAGCCCCAAAACCCCCTGGAAAGCATTTCTTCCCAACCCTGGCAGCATGAGGGCTGGCAGACATGATCAGAGTGCTCTGAGCTGCTCAAACTTTGCTTCTTCGCAAAATATCTTATTGTTAACATCTCCTTCACCACCAGACAAGAGCCTGGGCAGTGTGATCAGTACAGGGTGAGCCCGGGCCAGCTGGCAAAGAGGATTTGGGACAGACCACGACTCAATCCTCCCCTTGGGGTGTCTGGAGCAGAGGCATCTCTTACCTGCTGTAGGCACACTAACGTTGTACTGAGGTAAGATGAACAGGAAGGCAGTCTTGGCTGTGACCTGTAAAAGACACACAGAAGGGAAAAAAAGCAAAACAGTTGTTGATTCCATTCCTCTGCCACCATTTACTCTCTTTTCCTACCACAAAGGGAAAGGTAAATTGTCCAGGGAGATGTACAAGCACCTGCTTCACTCGCAGAAACATCTTTCAGCAAGGAGATTGCAAGAGAAGTGGTTTGCCAACAGAGACTTGGGATTTGGGAAGGAGAAAGAGAGGTATAAAGGAGGGAGAAACCCGGAAGAACAACACAGCTGGAAAAGCCATGAGCCAACCTGACAGGGGAAGCCTCTTGGTTCCCCTCAGGGATGAGCATCTCTCCAGGAGCGTGGACCATCCTCATACGTGACCTGCTGCTCAAGGGACACTGGGAACTGACCCAACTGGCTATTTGCATTAATTAAAACTAGCCCTCATTCCCATCCACTTGCACAGCCACACTGGGAATCCAGCCTGGGTAGGGATGGCAGCACCCGCACATGAGAAACTCTGAACTGGCTACACATGGATTTAGCTCCACGTATTTGTGGAGACTCCTCCACTTGGTGAGGCTGGACCCCTCTAGAGTCTGTGCAGGCACCCATGAAGGTCCAACAGGGCAGGGGAAAAGTAGCTTTGACAGACAAGCTGAATCTCACACTAGTTACCCACAAGATTCCAGATGCATGTACAAAACAGGAATAAAAAAGCCTGGGATGACATATCAGGGACCCTGCAAACCAGGGCTGTGCTGCTCACTCTTCATTTATTGAATCATAGAATAGAATCATGGAATAACTTGAGCTGGAAGGGACCCACAAGGATCACTGAAGTCTAACTCCTGGCCTTGCACAGGACACCCCCAGAATCCCACCATGTCCCTGAGAGTGTTGCCCAAACGCTCCTTGAGCTCTGCAGCCTTGGGGCCATGACCACTTCCCTGGGGAGCCTGTTCAGTGCCCAACCACCCTCTAGGGGAAGAACTTTCTCCTGATATCCAGCCTAAACCTCTCCAGAAACAGCTTCATGCTGTTCTCTCTGGTCCTGTCTAAATTGCTTTTAATTCAAGGGAATGATCCTTCCCAGCAATGAAGCAGGAGGGTTTGTGGGAATGGGGCACAGCATTCCACCCCAGTGCATCCACAGGATGCCCCAAAGCTGCACCTCTGAGACCAACACACCCTCGAGCCTGGGGCCACAGCTCAGTGCACAAACATCTGACAGCAAACGTGTCTTCGTCCCATCCAACCCCACAGTGCCAGCAGGTCACCAAATTTTTACCTTTCCAAGGGCTCCCAGCCAACCCCTCCAACGCTTTGCAAGCACCCACCTTCATACACAACCAGCCCCAAAAAATCCCATGCCAGTCCAACACCGATGGAGATGAGCTGCATTTCACACAGACGTAGCTACCACCGTTCCAGAGCTGCAGGCTATTAAAATCCCAGCTGGAAATTGCTCCACAGCTTGTGGGGGGGGGACACAGGGCCTTTGCCAACCGTTCCCATTCTGCCTCCATGAGCATTGAGCAACCGGCCAGTGGCTCCGCTCCGCTGGCACAGGCGAGGGACAGAAAACTCCACAGTGTCTTTTCAGGATGTTTGGGGATTTAATTTTTTTTTCCCACTTAAAAAAAAGGAAATCCCACATGTTGCGCTCTGTTTGTGGAGGAGTAGATGCAAGAAAAGCTCTGCTGCAGGATATGGAGACCACGGGCAGAGTCTGGGGTGGGGATGGAAAAAGTGCATCGCCCGGCTTTCAGCTGGCTTAAGGAGACACTGCTGGCTCTTACAGACCTTGCTGGCCAGGAAAGCCAAGTTGCTTCATCCCAGAGCGGTACAGCACATCCAGGACCTGGACTTCACATCCAAACCCCGTCACGAGCTGGTAAAGGGTATGATATAAACACACAGAGCCAGCGGTGGCCGCGATGCTGCGGGGACGGGTGGACGTGTCATGGAAGTGCTGACGGCAGCAGGCACTGAAGGATTTACAGCTACCCAAGGACCTGGCTGACATCCAGAGCTATACACAGCTGGAAAGAAGACATCATCTACAGATGAAGCCTCCTAACCTGCTGGAGGGGCCATAGGCCAGACTTGTGAGTCCAAGAAAATGACCCTGGAGTATCTCTGGAGTGGGAAGAAAAGCCAGCATGGTGCTCAGCCCCAACACAGTTTGCAAGGACTCTCCTAATCTTTTTTTCTAGAGGGCCTGGTAGGAAGGTTTCATCCATCCACTCCAGCATCAAGCAATGCTTTGTCCCATCTCCACACCTGCCTTTGCTTCCTATAGGCTGAAGACCACCAGCAGCTTCAGAGGTCACCTTTGCACCCCCTCACCTTTCATTACAGAGGGGTAGTGGGTTGTTTTCTGAAGTCTAATTAAAATATTTTACTGCCAAAGACAAATATAACATCCTGGACACAGGCAGGCTCCTGATGGACCAGTTTCCAAGGACAAACTGCCTGTCTGCTCCGTTTGACAGATGGGGGAGCCCAGGCAAACCTGCAGCTGCTCCTGCAGCCACTCACTAAAGTGCTACAGCGGCCAAATACGAACTCCAGGCATCCAACCTTCCCATCTTACAGAGTTTACATGGAGGGAAGGTCTCCTCTAAGGCACCAAAGGCATTTCCTTCTCCTGCAACCAGTTGGGAAGTGTTCACACTGACTATGAAACACACACCTGGACAGGGAGCCTTCCCCTCCAGGCATCACTGCAAGGACATCTTGGTTCAGACAGTCATTGCTTCTAGCAGCAGATGGAGCATGAAACACATGAGATGAACCACCCTGAGCAGGACACTGGTACATTCCTCCCTCTGGAAGGTGAGGGACATGCTGCACATCCATGGGGGGACCTGCATCTTGTTGATGTTTCTCACCACATGCCCCTTGCCAGTGGGCACAGAGGGACAGGGGACTTGACCAAGGTCATGGCTGAGCTCCAGCAAGTGAACATCAAGCTCCAAACTCCCACATAACCCCCTCAGTATCCCATCCACTATATCAACTGGGAGCACCCATAGTGCACCCATTGCTACACAGCCCTGAGTGGTGTATAGTGCCAGGCACACCACGGAGCAGCTTAAGCCTCCTGGAAAACAGGGAACACCAGAACCGTGACCTCCAGCAATGGCACCTCCAGCTCCCCTGCAAGGGAGGAAACCAGGTTTCCTTGGCTTAGGAAGGAGCAACGAGCACCAGGGATGGCAAAGCTTTAGGGATTGCATTGAGCATTTCACAGGCAGCCAGAGAAAGCAGAAGTTTGGAACGGGAAGAGCAACATGAGGATTATTCAGAGGCACAAGACGTTCGCTGCCTGTTTGTTCTGAAACAAGATGCTGGTATGGGAAAGGAAGTGCCAGGCACGCTCCTGCCCTGCAGGGCAGGAGAAGAGCCAGAGCTGCCACTAAACTGCTGCTGGCAGAAGGGGAATTCATAGAATCATAGAATAATTTAGGTTGGAAAAGCCCTCTAAGATCACTGAGTCCAACCATGAACTCAGCACTGCCAAGCCCACCACTAACCCATGTCCACAAGTGTCACATCTACATGTTTTCTGAACACTTCAGGGATGGTGATTCCACCACTGTCCCAGGCAGCCTGTTCCAATGCCTGAGCACCCTTTCAGTGAAGACATTTTTCCCAATATCCAACTGGCTATTAAAATCCCTAAACCTTCCCCTGCACAACTTTTTATAGGGTGGGAGAGGGGTTTGTCTCCATGGGACGCACAGAACAGGGACCACGTAGGAAAGGCTGTACCTTCCTCATACACTCCTCATCCACTCCTTGCCCGGCATTAAGGGCATCTCTATGCAGAGGGAGATGCTCCTCATCCTGCCTTGCATGAGGGATGTGGTGAGTGGGGATATGGGTTAGTGATGGGCTTAGCAGAGCTGGGTTAGACATGATGAACTCAGAGGCCTTTTCCTACCTTAATAGTTCTATGATTCTATGTGCCTGAACCAGGCAAATTTGGGAAGCAGTCATCCTGGGAGCTCTCTACAGCCATGCAGAGGGAACAGTATCCTCAGCAGTGAGTGGGTTTCTGGTGGTTAAAGCCACTGATGTGAGAACCAAAGGGCAGACGGATGGTGAAGACGCAAAAGTCCACGTGTCCATCAAGACCAGAGTTTCCCGCGATGCTCAGGACAGGGATGAGGCTGTTTCTCATGGCTAAAAATCAAACCAGCACATCCACCTCACAGCCCTTGATGGCAGAGCAATGGATAAAGCCAAACAATCCCAGCACTACTACACTATGCATCTTTATTTACTATGCATCTACTATCTACCACTAGGCATCTACTCCTGATAATGTGGTGACTGGAAAAATCCAAACACCCACCATCCTGGCAATTGCTGTTTAATACAGAGCAGCAAAGCTCCTCCTACTCTTTTTTAGAATCACAGAACAGCTTGGTTTGGAAGGGACCTTAAAGATCGTCTTGTTCCAACCCCCTGCCATTGGCAGGGACACCTTCCACTAGACCAGGTTGTTCCAAGCCCCATCCAGCAATTTAAAAAATGCTGTTTTTTCCCTGCCACAAAAGGCTCCAAGGGTCCAAACCCAAATCCCAATTACACTTGTGCAGATAAGCACGTGGCTTTTAATAAAGGGATCTAACCACGTGCATCCAGGCAGTTTAGCACCTCTCCCAAAATCTACCTGCTGCAACTAAACACCAATATGTTCAGGAAAGAGGGATAATTTTTGAGCATCCTTCACAGAGGGGTACCAGGCACTCTATGAACTCGGGGAACAGCTTGCCCAGAGTGGTCGTGGACACTCCATCCCTGGAAGTGTTCAAGGCCAGGTTGGATGGGGCTTGGAGCAACCTGAGATAGTGGAAGGTGCTCCTGCCCATGGCAGGGGATGGAATGAAATGATCTTTAAGGTCCCTTCCAACTCAAACCATTCTGGGATTCTATAAAACCTGTTTCCCTTCTCGAAAGCCTCATCCCAGTGGGATTTGCAGTTGCTGTCTCTACCCCAGCCAGGAGCCCCCAGGCACTCTGCCTGCCCCACGGTCCTCCTTGAATTAAAATCACTTTGCAGGAAGGAAGCAGCTCCAAACCTCTGGTGGGGGAGGCTGGGGGAGTTTCTGCAGTCAGAGCTGGGAAAATATTTCCAGGGCTTGAAAAACAGCTCAAACTAATTACAGATAAAACGCTGTCTGAAGGATTCTCTCGCAATGTGGGGGTATTTTTCCCCCAACCAGTCAGAGTTTGAAAGACAAACTTGCTGACCCACGGTATGGATTGACACAAGCCCTATATGTAAACTAAAGGCCAAACTTTGGACCAAAGCCTTTAAAAGTAAACATCTGGCTGTGACAAAAAACCCTTTTCGAGGGCGGCGCAGCCCCTCTGCTCCCACAGACACGCTCATCCCTCAGCACAGCATGATTTTCACTGCCTCACACTCCCTCCTGTTTATTCCTTTTTTAAAACTAAACCTAAGTTCTGCCTTTTTTCCCCCCTTTTTCCCCCTCTTCCCCAACTATTCAGCCCTTAATGCCGCCCGCATGGCCTCAGCTCCCACATCTGGAAACGACCAGGGGAGGCAGAAACACGGTTTTTTTTCCCGTATTAGCAAGGAGAAAGGCCTTAATTTTTTAGAGTACTACGGAGGGGACCGGGAAGGGGGAAGTATATTTAGCAGGAAGCCTGGAAATAGCAGCTCATTCGTCAGCCGCCTTCGCTTGACAGTGTCACAACCCAGAGTTTGGGAGCCCGTGACTCACACTCTGCTCACAGGGGAAAGCCCAGCAAGGCCACGGCAACTCTTATAAAACAATGGGTTTTAACTCTATTATCACTTTCTTATCATCACCCCACGCATAAAACTGAGCCTTAGTTTCCCCATTTTAGAGATTGCGGCAGCAGCCCCCATCTAACACAGGAACTTGCCCAAAATCAGTGAGGTCTTCCGCAAACTCAACCCACTGATTGACCCACCCCAGACAGGACACAGGTCACCAGCCAGCTGCAGGTTAAACCCAGCCTGGCCTTGGCTTCATTTTTCTGCAAAGCAGGGTGGAAAAATACATGCAAAGCAATTTCTGCAGGAGGATGGGAAGCACCTGTTTCGCGTTTCTATCACTTAAAATAGCTTTTTACCAAAAAAAAACAAAAAAAGAGGAGGCTTTTCTTTCCGTGCTCCAGCAGCCACACACACACGTGGCAAAATCCCTCCCTGGCACCACACAGACACAAACCAGGTGCGTTTCACACCCTGAAGGCTTAAGGCAGGCTGGGAATGAAAAACACTGCATAGTGCCAAGCTCTGGACAGCTCTTTTTAGGGAAACCCCCTCCAAGCCTGGGATTTCCCTCTCTGAGCAATGCTATGATCATGTAAAACACTGGAATAATCAAATCCAACACACCTGTAACATCGGTGAGCAGCCTCATGCCACACTTTGTGCCCCCAAATCCCATCATGTCCCACAGCTCCCTGCTGTGGAGGAATTCCCAGGTTGGTGAATCTGTTTGGAGGGGAAAGGTTGGGCACCCAAAAGGATACTCAGGGTGCACCTTGCTTGGGGAAAGGGAGACATCCATCAGCCCTCCAGCATCATCCTGAGCAGGGTGCTGGAGCAAGGAAGCGCTCAGCTCCTGGGGGATGCCTGGGAAAAGGTTAAAAATCTTATTTGTGTCTTCCCAAAGAAACCTCCCCTGCAGGAAACGGCCTATTGTGAGCAGGATTCGGCCGCTTCCGCTGAGCCTGAGCCTGGCTGTGGCCACCAGCATCAGGAAGGTGGAAGCCCGGCTGTGGGGTGGGAAGCAGGGATGAAAGGAGGAGAAGGGAGAGCGACGTGTCCTCCTCACCATGGCAAAGGAGGAGATGAAAAGGTGTCAAAAGGCAGAAATATCTGAGCTGCCACCAAAAGTCACCACAGAGGGGTGGCACAAATGGGCATGGATGGTTTAGAGGGCTGGGGAAGAGCAGAGCCTGATTTCTCCTCCAGAGGAAAAGAAAGCAGGAGAAATAACCATAAAAATAAAATAAAATAAAATACCCACAAGGATCAAGAGCTGTCTCAAACCCCATGCTCAGGCCCATGGTGTGATTCTTGGGGTGTGCTGTGCAGGGCCAGGAGTTGGACAAAATGATCCTGATGGGTCCCTTCCAACTCAGCATATTCCATGGTTCTGTGATTGTGTGATGATGCCAGGCAGGGATGCAGCCAGGCAGTGCACAGGGAGCACTGGAACCCACCCCAGCACGGCAAGCACCGTCTCCCTGAGGTCTGCGGGGAGAGCAGCAAACTGCTGCCTTCAGCATCCCAGGGAGGTTTAATTAAAAGACACTAAAAAAATCAGGAACACCACAAACTCCTCCCTGCTGGCATCTCCACAGGGGGGTTCATCACATTTCAAACCATCCTCAGAGCATCACGTCAACCAAAATCACTCCCAAGCCCAGCTACCAACTCTCCAGGACGGGGTTCCTGATAGGCAGCCACAGGCACCAGCATCCCGAAAAAACCACCTGCAGGGAGAAACCCTGAGATAGAGATGAGACCTCACCGACTTTTTTCTTTTTAAAGTACCACAATGAAACTTGCAGCCCAACTTTGTAAGCATTTGCATGTGGCTGTGGAATGCAGCTGGCCCTCTTGGGCTAGTTTTGAAACCCTTAAATAAATATATATATATATATGCACAACCACATCGAAAGGGGGTTTGAGTGCTGGAAGCCACTCGCTCATTCAAAGCATTCGCAGCAAAAAAAAAAAAAGGGGGGGGGGGGGAGGGGGGGGGGGAGAGAAAAGCAAGGGGGGCTCCAGCGGGAGGGAATTAAGGAAATGGATTTCCTCCTCCTGCGATTTGCTGCAAGAAGGAGCCTTTCCTCCTCCGCCAGGCCCCCCGGCCACCCCTTTCCCATCCGGATTTGCTTTGAAACGTGGCACTGCGCTGGAGGGGAGGGTTCAGCGGGGGAAGGGGGGGGGTCCGGCCCGGCTGTGCCGCTGACCACGGGCTCGCAGCCTCGGCCGTGGGTGCCCGGAGCCAAGAGAAGCCACACGGCCTCCAGCGCTCCCGTCTCCTCACCGAGAAGAGGGAAGGGAAAAAAGCAAGCTGGGAGGGAAGGAGCCGGAGCAGGGGGAGAGCGGCATTCCGGGCATGGCGCTGGCGGGGCAGCGGCATTCCCGGGGGGGCTCCGGGTGAAGGTATCCCATGGAGGAGCGGGGATGCCTTCTCATGGCCCAAGGTGGGATGGCCAGGATGAGGAAAGGCCAGGGAGCCGCTGGTGTCCTGCCCGAGGCCCAGGAGCCCCCGGTGCTCGTCCCACGGCGCTGGCTGCGGAGAAAATACCTGGAAAAGGGGTAATGTTAAAGAAGAAGAAAAAATGGGGGAAAAAAAAGGCAAAAAAAAAATTCTTCCCACTTCCAAGAGCTGGGAATATCAGCCAGGGCTTGGTTTCTCTCTGTGTGAGGCTGATGCACCCCACCTCAGTGCTTGGGGCATCCCAGCAGCAGGGGTGGGTTTGGAGAAGGGGGTTTGACATCCCCTGTGCTGCCCCTTCCCAAACCAGGGACCCCGGGCAGGGCTGGAGCAGGGGAAGAAGGATGTGCCACTCCAAAAGTCAGTACCAGGCTGGGTCCCCAAAGGAATTTGTGGGACACACACCTCTCTGGTGGTGGGTGAGAGACGGGGAATGAATGGGGCGGCGCTGTGCCCCCCCAGACGGAGGGGTCCCGCATCGCAGAGCCCCCTCCCCAAGCGGGATGGGGGCTCCTGGTCGGAGTGCGGACCCCCCTGAGCCGAGACAGCCCCGGGGGGGGACACCCCGTGCAGAACGACGGGGGTGACCTGGTCCACGGGGTGGGGACACACACACAGCCGGCCCCGGCGGGGAAGGGGGATGCGGATGGAGGGGGGGCTCTCACCTCGAACATGAGGGCGATGAGGACGCTGAGCACCAGGCAGAAGCCGATGTCGGCGTGGTTGTGGATGAGGAACTCCTGGCTGAAGAGCGGGTGGCTCTTGGCCCGCCGGCGGAAGGCCATGGCCGGGGCCGAGCCGAGCCGAGCCCAAACTTCCCCGGGCCCCGCGGAACTTCGCGGAGCTCCGCGACGGCCCCGCGCAGGCGCCGCCGCTGAGCCCTCCCCGCGCCCGCCCGGCCCCGCACGGCCCCAGCCCCGACCCCGCCCCGGCACGGCACGGACCCGGCACAGCAGCGGGCACGGCCCCGACCCCGCCCCGGCACGGCACGGACCCGGCACAGCACCGGGCACGGCCTCGACCCCG